GTCCAAAACGAGCCTCTCATGGTCGCACTTTCGATGCCAAACGCCCCATGAGCCCCCAAACAGCTACCATGAGCCCCCAAACAGCTACCCGTAATCCCTGGCGCGCTCCCCCTTGCAACGGCGGGGGTTGGCGGATATATATATATATATATATAATCAACATTTTACATGATGGTTACCACAGGTGATTCAAAGATTAAGAAACGATTGGAGGCATTAACCCTTGCAATTGCTTTCAGGCGCTAGTCCTTTTTCCCATCTTGTTTCGGGCATCGAGTTGTCCTTTTTCTCGGATCCAATCGCTTTCGAGTCGGGGAGGTCATCACCCTCCGGATCAGAGATCCGCATGGAAAAGCCACGGACATTCAACTTGACTCTTCCCTTTGAATCACGCAGGCGGGTTTTGCTGAAGATAGGGTGTTGTAGAACCGATTTGGCGGGGTTCGCCAATCATTTGGAGGGTGTTGTAGAAAAGGATTTCCGAAGCCAAGCTGTTCTCTCCCTGCACTGTCCCACCCATTTTTTGTTGGAAGATGGTGCAAAGTGAACACCTCGTTTTTCCTTCCTTGGTAGGCTCTTGGCCCCTTTGGTTAATTCGGGATTTGCTACCAACCCCCTAGAGGTTGAAACCTTAGCAGAATATCTAAAAACAGGCAAGACACCCATACCCATGCCTATGTGTCTCTGTGCTGAGAAGACCCATGTGGCGGCGTGATCGCCTGCTATTCGTGTCACAAGATTGCTGTGGATTCGCCTTGGCAGAGATCAAGTCCCTCATGGAGGCGGGTTTCTTTCCCTACCCAGTCAGGGGATAACCTGCCAAAGCGTTTTGGGGGATTGGGACACCCCAGTAGACATGAACTGGTGGAAAGTTCAGCTAACCTCTATTTTCCAGTGAAACCGAGGAGGTTAGCTCAACTCACTTGCTTTGTTCCTTCACAACATGTGGTCGAGTTCTTCTCTCGTCAGGTCCAGAAATCTTGGTGAGCAGGGTGAGCTCCCATTCGCCGGGAAAAAGGACACATCTATGATCATCTATGGCACATGTTCACCAGACCAGTGGAATCGATGAGGTATGATGAGGTTGATTTGTTCGCTTCAGCAATCTTCCACCCAACCTTGCCGCCTCGAAGAACGACCTGTTGCCACTCGAAAACCTGAACCACCTGTTGCCACCTGAACACACCGGTCACATGCCGAATCTCGCGTGGCCCGCAGCCGGAAGCGGTGCGAAGCGGCCAGGCTGGTGCCAGTCGGGTGGATTTGCGGTCCACGCTCTACGTGGTGGACATGGTCTTGAAACGGGCTGAAGTCTCTCAAGTGCGTTCGCGTGATGACCCTTTGGCCGATCAGGCGGCGCAGGGCGGCGCCGGGTTACCGCGGTGGCGGCGATTCTGCCGGAAGATGAGTGATGAATAGACACTCCGAGTAACGGAAGGTTGGGGTTGATATAATATATATAACTATATCATACATGACTTGACCTGACTTGATTTGACATGACATGACATGAGGACAGGACAGGACTGGACAGGACAGGACAGAACATACGTACTAACTTACTAGCATAAGATATTACAACATGACACAGTATAATACATATACACACATACTTACATACAGACAGACAGACAGACAGCCAGGCAGGCAGACAGACAGACAGCCAGGCAGCCAGACGGACAGACATGCATACATACATACATACATAGATACATACATACATACATACATGCATCCATGCATGCATACATACATACATACATACATTTACATACATACATTTACATACATACATGCATACATACAGACATACATACATACATATACAGATATACACACATACATACAGACATACATACATACATACAGACATACACACATACATACACCGGACATTCTCCAAGGCCGGGGAGCAAACCTGCAGGTGGTTATGAAACCATTGGTGGCACCCAAATCAGGAGGCACGTGGAAGAAGGGCAAAGCGGCCTACTGGGAGCAGCTGCAGGCAAGATTCACTTAAGCAGCCACAGCACCAGCCGGGTGGACCCACCAAGGGGTTCATGAAAGCCGTACAAGATGTCCCAACCCAATGGCTTGGCCCACCCACCTGGTGCCAATTTCTTGACACATGCCACCACTGGCACCAGTACCGTGATCCTCATGCATCACCAGTTACAAGAGGCCCAACAGGCTGCCAACGAAGAAGGACACCTACAATACAAGGCCTGGCTCCAACAAGGGCAAGCAAAAGGCCTCAAAGGCCTATTCAGAAGCTTCAAAAGCAGTGAAATCCCTTGGCAGAGGCCATACCGACAGCTGCCACCAGATCAAAGAATGACGCAGCGCCTACATGATTGGGGCACGCTCTGGCAGATTCGACAGGACAACCAGCCAACTGAACGACCCAGCCTCAAGGCGCAAGCGCAGCAGCAGGCACAACAGTTAAAACCCTCAAAGGCCTACCAGACAAAGCCAGCGGCCCTGATGCAGTCTCTGCACAGCTCCTCAGAACTGCACCCCCGCTTTCCCTTGGACCGCTACTGAAGCTCATTCAAGAGATGGAAGCCAAAGCCCAATTACCAACCCAACTTTAGATGCATTTGGTGGTAATGCTGCCAAAGAATCAAACCATCGAGCGGCCTATCACTTTGACCTCAGTCCTCTACAGGGTATGGTGTCGGCTCCGCAAACCTCTGCTCGATGAGTGGCAGCGCAACCTACCACCCCACATGAACCACGACCGCGCCAGGCCAGGGGCAAATGTTCTGCAGGTTGCCCTGGAACGGCTCCTTCGCCAAGAAGTTTACCGGGCCAATGGACAGCACGGCGTCACTGTCCTTATGGACATGTCCACCTTCTACCACCATCCAGCTGGACCGCCTCCAAGAGCAGGCACTGGCACTCCAGTACCCACCAATCATGCTGGAGATGGCAATGCGGTGTACACAGGCCCAAAGGCAATAGTGGCTGAACAGGAGATGACTCCTTTCTTTCATGTCACCAAAGGAGTACCAGCAGGATGTCCGCAGGCGCCACTCCTGGCCAAAGCAGTCTTAGCTCCAGCCCTCACGCCATGGCAGGAGCAGCGCAAGCACATCCATCTCTCCAGCTGGGTTGACGATGTTGGCTATGACACAGCTGGGAAGCACCCACAACAGGTGCCAAACAGGCAGTTGAAGCATACAGAGACCTCCATCAAAGACTCACCTCCTTGGGTCTCAAAGTCAGCCCCAAAAAGACCGCCTTCATTGCCACAGACAAACTCACAGACAGAGAGCTCAAAGCTATGCTCGGGAAGACGAGCCCCCAGTGGCCACAGTCATGCGTGACCTTGGAGTGGACCACCAGGCTGCCAGGGTGAGGCGAATCCCAGTCATGAAGCGGCGGCTACACAAAGCCACACAATGGAAGATCAAGCTCCGAAACCTCAAAACCCCTGCACTACGGATCAGACTCAGACTACACAGAGGTGGCATACAACCAGTGGCTATCTGGGGCGTTGAAGGCCAAGGCCTCGCTCTCAGATACCGTACAGCACTTCGACATGCACTGGCCAAGCATCTGGGCCCACAGCATCCTGGATGCCACATACGATATATTCACAGCGACAAGTACATGGACCCAGCAGACCAAGTCATCATTCATCACGTCCGCGCCATGCACCAACTCATCCAGGCCTGGCCTGAAGACCAATGGCAGCATTTGGGGCAAGCATGGGCAAACACCAAGCCCTACAACAAAAGCAACACGATTGGTACACGGTACGAGGACCTATGGCAGCCACCATTGCCTACCTGCAAGAATGGAACTGGGACACCCACAATCTCATGCACTGGACCAGGCAGGAAACCCAGTTTTTGCTGAGCAATGAGATCGCGCTCCAAGCACCATGGTGGCAGATTGAACACGTTCTGCACCAAGAGGCCCAACAACAACGTGTAAGCAGATTGGCAGGGAGACAGAACCATCAACATTTGATCCCAGGCATTGACTGGCATGTCTGCAGACAGATCCAAACCAGAGCGGCAAAAGCAACACCTCAAGACCTGGGTCCAAGGGGCCCTCCAGTTTCGAGATACCACTTCGACCAAACCTTGTCCCATCTGCCATGTGCCCGCCACACCAAAACATATCCTATGGCTACGCAAGCTACCGGCAGAATGGCTTGAACGCATCACTTTGCCCAGAAGAGGAGCCGTTATGGTCCAAGGGATGGATTCCGCCCACACCACAAGATCACAAACAGCAGCAGCATCCCTATCAAGGGCATGGCATCTGGCAGACTCTCCAGGCCATTGGACCTGACCAATGCATTGGTTGTGCCTTCACGCTTGATGCCACACCCTCAACCTACGATGCCAGAAGTCAAGCCTGGGTCTTTGGACTCTGCGTCCACACCCAAACCATGGGACAGTTGAGACGCCTCGGAGCCATCACCGGCATCCCAACCGGAGCACAGACCAAACCCAGAGCCCTCTTTGGTGGCATTGGCCAAACACACCACAACCCCCGTCAAGGTCATCATCCAGCTCAGTTCCGTCTGGGAAGCCTGGCACAAGAGCCCGCGCCAGCATCAATTCCAAGACCTTATATGGACAACATCACCAACCAGGAAAGGAAACGCATCACTGTCCTATACATCAGCAGGAACACAAAGACCCCTGATGCACCCGGCAACGAACCTCAGCTCCGGCGGCGACAACGGGATGCAGCCCTGACGGCCTGGGAAAGAGCAAATGCCATGCGTGACAGGAAACTCACTGAGTGGCAGCAAACCCTCGATCAGGACCATGCACTGATCTACAAACAAACATGCTGTCCGGAGGCTCGAGAAGATCTATGAGGACAAACAGCACTACATCTATTGCAAGGCACCCAGGCAGCAGGGCAAACAAACTAAGCAACACAAGAAGGATCTGGTGAAACAGTGCACCAGGCCCTGGCAGCCGAACCAGCATCGCTGGGAACCACACCGCAGTGGATACCACTGCAGTGCCTGCGGAACCCGCACGCACCAAGGCCTATACTTGAGGACAGGCTCAAGGAAACCTGCCCACAGCTGCAAGCTGACACCACCAGCCACGAATCAGGACCAGAGGCTGCCCCACTCACCAAAAAGCCCACCAGAGCACAGAACATCAAGACTCTGTTGCGCAACCAGACCCTGACAAACCCTGGCAAAGACCAACACTGCTTTGAGGAGACAAAGGGGTACCTCAAGTGCACCAAAATGTGGCACTAGCATCCATAAGAGGATCAACGAAGTGGCATTTCAAGAGTATGTCAATAGCCCATGCCTGGACCAGGCATTTCACCTGTATCATAGCTATCAGGTGGGAGGCCATCGCGATTAGGTGGGAGGCCACCGCGATTGTGTGGCAGCCCACAGCTATCAGGTGGGAGGCCATATTAGGATGAAGGCCATAGCCCATCGCGATTAGGTTGGAGGCCATTGCTATTAGGTTAGGTTGAAGGCCATAGCTATCAGGTGGGAGGCCATCGCGATTAGGTTGAAGGCCATAGCTATCAGGTGTGAGGCTATCGCGATTAGGTGGGAGGCCATCGCGATTAGGTTGGAGGCCATTGCTATTAGGTTGAAAGCCATAGCTATCAGGTGGGAGGCCATCGGGACTAGGTTGGAGCTGTGACAAACTTAGATGGTGTTTTTTGCTGGCGTTTGAAGTCTTTGAGGTGTTAGTCACCCTTGATGTTCTCTGATGATGCAGTGCAGCATGAGTGCCCACTTTGCAGCACGACATCGTTAATGAAACCCCGTCTAGCATTACTAGAAATCTATTTCTTGGCAGATTTATCATAATCGAGGATTCAAAGGGGGACTTATGCAGTTGTGGTCACTGCGCATGGATTCCCGATGGCACCATGTCTTTTTGCTTGTGATGAAGTTTGGTGATTTTGGTGATTGATTTGGGTGGTCTGTCAGGTTCCCAGCCTCTTGTCAAATTCGATTTCTACTACCTGGATTCCGGTGTCCTTGAGTGCTTCAGGAAACCTACTACAGCCCTGGAACTGCGTGCATGAGAACTGTCAGCAAACCCCACCACCAAAGCCCCGGCCCACCTCTAGATACACGCACAAACACATGCAGCATCACACAGCCATGTCCCTCTTGAACCTTCCCGACAGTTCAGACACGCTCTGGCACGCCTTCACATAATTGTATATACTGTATCAGGTGCTTTGATTCATTCTGTGTGTTACGCATTCTGCCACTTACGCTTTGGATCAAAACTGTGAGGGAACCTGTCTCCAACTCTTTCGAGGCTACATGCCGGCACCGACTGTGCAGCCTCCACCGGCTGCATGTATGGGAGATCATGGTTTAAAGTGCCACT